GAGAGGAAGGAAATTTGAGGGGAGGGGGAGAGGAAGGAAATGAGAGGGGGGGAGAAGTAAATCTGAGGGAGAAGGAAATTTGAGGGGGGGGGAAGGAAGGAAATTGGAGGGGGGGAGAAGGGAAATTGGAGAGGGAGGGGGAGAAGAAGGCAATTGGAGAGGGAGGGGGAGAAGAAGGATATTGGAGGGGGGGGGAGAAGAAGGAGAGGAGGGGGGAAGAAGGAAATTGGAGAGAGGGGGAGGGGTAGAAGAAGGAAATTGGAGGGGGGAGAAGGAAATTGAGGAGGGGAGGAGGAGAAGGAAATTGACAGGGGAGAAGAAGGAAATTGGAGAGGGGGGAGAGAAGAAGGAAATTGAGAGGGGGAGAGAAGAAGGAAATTGGAGAGGGGGAGAGAAGAAGGAAGTTGGGGAGGGGGGAGAGAGAAGGAAATTGGAGGGGGGGAGAGAAGGGAAGTTGGGAGGGGAGAGAAGAGGAAATGAGGAGGGGGAGAGAAGAAGGAAGTTGAGGAGGAGGGGGAGAAGAAGGAGATGAAGGAAATTGAAGAGGGGAGAAGAAGGAAATTGAGGGGGGAGAAGAAGGAAATTGGAGGGGGGAGAAGAAAAGAGGAGGGGGGAGAAGGAAATTGGAGAGGGGAGAGAAGGAAATTGGAGAGGAGGGGGAGAAGGAAATTGAGGAGGGGAGAGAAGGAAATTGGAATTGAAGAGGGGGGAGAAGGAAATTGAGGAGGGGGAAGAAGGAAATTGAGGAGGGGGAGAAGGAAATTGAGGAGGGGAAGAAGGAAATTGAGGAGGGGAAGAAAGAAATTGAGGAGAGGGAAGGGCGATGAAATTGACGGGGAGGGGGAGAGATTGACATCCATCACACACACACACACACACAAAAAGGAAATGGGAGAAGGAAATGGGGGGGCAGAAGGAAATGAGAGGGAGGGGAGAAGAATGGGAAATTGAGAGGGGGGAGAAGAAGAAAATTGGAGAGGGGTGGTAGAAGAACAGTTGAGGAGGGAGGGGAGAAGGCAATGAGAGGGAGGGGAGAAGAAGGAAATTGAGATGGTGGGAGAAGAAGGAAATTGGAGAGGAGAGAAGAAGGAAGTTGGAGAGGGAGAAGAAGGGGAGAAGAAGAAAATTGAAGGGGGGAGAAGAAGGAAATTGAGGGGGGGAGAAGAAGGAAATTGGAGGGGGGGAGAAGAAGGAAATTGGAGGGGGGGGAGAAGAAGGAAATTGAGGGGGAGAAGAAGGAAATAGAAGGGGGGAGAAGTAAATTGGAGGGGGGAGAAGAAGGAAATTGGAGGGGGGAGAAGGAAATGAGAGGGAGGGGGAGAAAAAGGAAATTGGAGGGAGGGGGAGAAGGAAATTGACGGGGCGAGGGGGAGAGATTGACATACATCACACACACACAATGCACCCCTTGCACACAGAAAAACACACAATGCATTACACACAGACACACATACACAAGCAATGCATCCCTTTCACACAGCAACACACAATGCACCCCTTACACACACTCAATGCATCCCTTACAGACGCACACACTGCATCCCCATCCATACACAAACTCACCTTGCAGCCCTTACACATACAAACACAAATTCACACAATGCATTCCTTACACACATCAGGACATCCCCCCCACACACACACTATCCACCCCCTGTGAACAAACTCATTGGTGGAACATAAAGGTGGACCCTGGGACCCAGAGCTTGAGCTGTGTAAAGGGCCCTCAAAAAAATGGAGCTGCTTCCCGTTCTCCAAGAACTTTGATTTTTGTGACCACAGTTACAAACCGCCTCCAGAGAGCCTGTTCTACACCAGACCAGTGGAGCCAGACGGCAGCTAGAGCCCATCATCATCCTCATCTGGTTGTAAGTAGGCAATCTAGTATATTATTCATGGCACTTATCTCTAATTTATCTCACATTAAAGGGACACTATAGTCCCCAGAACCACTGCAGCTTAATGTAGTGGTTCTGGTGTCTAGCCTGTCCCTGCAGGCCTTTTAATGTAAACACGGCGGCACTGCATCACTGGTGTTAGTTAACATGGCAGATCATATGGGTGGGGCATTGTCAGGGCCGTCTTTAATATTGATTGGACCCTGGGCAAGCATCTGCTTGGGCCCCCTGGGCATGCAATCACTCCCTCCACCCCAACCTAGAGGCGAAACAAATGTAGAGAGTGCCTTGGTGCAAAAAAATAATAATAATTCAGGCCTGCCCTGTAGCACAAGAGTAAAGAAAAGATAGATCCCCATCTGTCATACAACTCCTGCGATGCTATGCCAGGTGGGGATCTACCATCCTTGCAGGGTTGTATTTTTGAGCAGTGTTTGTGCAATTGAATGTCAGCATGTTATTGTATAGAATGTATGTGTGCATGTAGGGGTGTATTTGTATGTACTGTTACCATTGGAATGCAGTGGTGTACTTGTGTGTAGTGTTTGCGTTTGAATGCAGTAATGTGTGATTGTCTGTAGTGTTGGCTTTTAAATGCAGGTGTACTTTTGTGTGTATAGTTGGTGTTTGTATATAATTTTAGCGTTTTAATACAGGAATGTGTTTGTATGTAATGTTTGTATTTGCATGCAGGGGGTTGTTTGGATGTAGTGTTGTGTACATTTGTGTGTAGTATTGGTGTTTCAGCAAACTGGTGTGTTTGTATGTAATGTTTGTGTTTGCAGGGCTCTGTTTGCATGTTGTGTGATTTCTATAACACATATACACATACACATTAACACGCAGATACACACATAGGCACACTGACACATGCTCACACCTTGACACATACTGGCACATACACACACACACACACTCAGATACACACCCTTTGACACACAGATACAAGCACTTTGATACACACACACACTGGCACATCCACACACAGAGGTACACACACACACTGACACAGGTATGTACAAACACACTCAGATACACACATACATAAAGGTATAAATGCAGGGGTGTATATGTGTACAGTGCTAGAGATGGAGTGTATTTGTGTTGGCATTAAAATGCTGGGATGTATGCATTACCACACACTCAGATACACACTTACACACACACACACATACACACACACAAACACACACACAGGTACACATACACACTGACACACAGTACACATACACAGGTATACATACACACAGAAACACTGACACACAGACAAACACAGCCAGATACAAACACTGACACAAACACAGCCAGATACACACACTGACACAAACACAGCCAGATACACACAAGGACATAAACACAGCCAGATACACACAAGGACATAAACACAGCCAGATACACACACACATATATGTGTACATTTACATATTTTAATCTCTGCCTTCTAGCAGCTCTTGGACAGCAACTCCCAGCAACCTTGGCCATAATAATGTCTCAACTCTGTTCTTACATACCCTGGTCCAGAATTTGGCAAAAGTGACATTTGGAAATGGTATACAGCCTTTGATAACACTTGATGCAATAATATGTTAAAATAAATACTTTTAAAATGTATATTTAATAGGGAACTGTCAGGTTCTTCTAGGATTTTTAACATGTACTTATTCCCTGTGTGTTACATTACAAACACCAACACTTGAATAAAAGTGATATCAGAAATAAGCAAAACAAAAAAACAAAACATATTTAGCCACCCTCCTGTCTCCTTACCTTTTGGGTACAGAAAGGTGGCTTCCCTTGGGTCCAGTGGGAGCTTGTTGGCACAGGCTGATGGGAGTCTGCCATCAGCTTTCTCAGTCCCTCTCCCGAACAATGCTTGCATCCTCCTCCGTGTGGTGTGTGCCTCCTCCCCAGCGGCACTGAGGAGGAAGTGATCTGACCTCACTGCCTCCCAGCATGCCACGGAGAAGAAAAGGGATCACAGGGCAGTGTGTGAGGGGCTAGCTGTGTGTTTGTATTCAGCCAAGCCCCATATTACAAGGGCCCGGTCCAGAGCAGTATTAAAGGTACAGATCGAAATGTTGTGGTGTCCAATAAACCTGCTTAAATATATCACAGTGAGTGCCTGAGATTTTTTCTTTTATACTAAGGGACACTGAGACACAAGGAGACATGGGGACACTGGGAGACATTGTGACACTGGGAGACTAGGGGACTTTGGGAGACTAGAAAACACTAAGACACTAGGGACACTGGCACACTACAGACACTGAGAGACACCAGGGACCATTGGCGGATTCAGGGGGGGCAACGAGAAAATAGTGAGTTTGAGGCTCTCCTCTGCCGGCCCATGCAGGGCTAGCACTATCCAAGCACCAACCCTGCTGATTGCCTTCACGGACCGGAGGGGAGATCAGTGATCTCCCTCCCCAGTGCACACAGGCATATTAGTGAGAGAGAGAACCCGGAGAAGCTCTTAGCTGCAGCTCCGCCGGGTTCTCTTCTCGCGATCACGGAGCGTTGCTGCGGTTACCATGGCAACGCTCCGTTCTCGCGAGAGTGAACTCTAGCCTGAGCTGCAGGTTAGAGTTCACTCCCCCACTAGAACCACCAGGGATTGGAAGAGAAAGCAATGTACCTCAGAAAAGGTAAGAAGGGAGGGGGGGGGGGCATTAACTATATTTATTAAGCTATTATTTAATAATTAATATATATATATATACATATATATATATATATATCTTTAATCTGCCCCTATCCCCTCACACACTGCACCACACACAGTCCCACCTTACATACAAAGCCCCCCCTTACATACACATCCCCCCTTACACACACAGCCCCTCCTTACATACACAGGCCCCCAGTCACCCTTACACACATAGGCCTCCTTACACACACAAACCCCCTATCCCCTCACAAACTATAATCTCCTACACACAGCACCACACACAAATATAGTCCCCCTTCACACACACAGCCCCCCCTTACACACACAGCCCCCCCAATTACACACACAGCCCCCCCTTAAACACATGGCCCCAATACATACACAGCCCCCCATACATACACACACAGCACCACTCACACACAAACACACTGCTCCCAATATACAAATTGCTCTCACACACGCACTACCCCTCCATACACATACTGCACCACTCACACACACACACTACACCCACTATCCCTGCAGACCCTGGGTAAGTTATCAACCGTTTCTTTTAAACGGTTTGACTACTTACTCTGGGAGGGCACCACAGCAAATCCTGGCACCAAAACCACAACAGAGAGCTGTAGTGGTTATTGTGCCTGGATTATTTCTTAAAATGATCTGCCAGTGCCCCTCCCAGATTAGCTTCTGGATCCGCCACTGCCAGGGACACTGGGAGACATGGAGATACTGAGATACTAGGGACACTGGCTGGGAGACATGGGGACACTGGGAGTGCCCCATATCTCCCAAGTCTCAAAGTCGCCCAGTGTCCCCATGTCTCACTGTGTCCCCAGTGTCTCCATGCCTCTCAATGTCCCCATGTCGCCCAGTGTCCCCTAGTGTTTGTATCCCCATGTCTCCCAGTGTCCCGATGTCACTAGGACACTAGGGGACACTTAGAGACATTGGGACACTGAGATACTGGGAGAGAGATGGGGACACTGAGATACATGGGAACCCTGGGAGACTAGGGACACATACACTAGGGACACTGAGAGACACCAGGGACACTGGGAGACATGGGGACACAGAGATACCAGGGACACTGGAAGACATGGGGACACTAGGGACACTGGCTAGGAGACATGGGGACACTGAGAGACTAGGGGCCACTGTGTCGCTAGTTTCTCAGGGTCCCCATGTTCCCCAGTGTCCCTATGTCTCCCAGTGTCCCAATGTCTCAGTGTCCCCAAGTCTCTCACTGTCCCCATGTCTCGCAGGCTCGGAGCTTCTGTCTGGACTCTCTGTGCAGAGCTGCTTCCCCGCGGATCAGTGAGTAGAGAGAGGCAGGGAGGGAGATGCTGTAACTTCTTATCCCTGCCTCTCGCCACACAAACAGCGACCCCTACTGGCCGGTGCTGGTATTGCAGAATAATATCTGTTTATACGGAGACAGACATTTGTAATGCTGGTATTACTGCAATACCGGCACCAGCTAGGCAGCCTCAAATACCTGAGAAATACTTCTGAGAAATACCTGGCAACCATAAGAAATACATGAGAAATATCTGAATTAATTTATTTATTTTTCAAATCAATGGGCCTATTCCATGGGCCTGGGCCTGGAGCTGCAGCTCCATCAGCCCCTATGTTAATCCGGCCCTGGGGGGACCTAATGTCCTCCCCCCTGGCCTCAACCCCTGAACAGTGGGTGGGGGCCCTAAATTAGAATAAGGGGGGGGACCTAATGTCCTCCCCCCTGGACCCCATCCCTGAGCAGCGAGAGGGGGCCCTAAATAAAAAATTAACCCCCCCTCCCCCAGGAGACTAGGGGTCCCCAAACCCCTAATCACCCCCCTCCCAAAGGAAAAAAAACCCTACCTACCCCCCTCACCCTAAAAATAATGAGGGGGGGCATTAACTAACTACCTGTATAAAAAAATAAAACTTACCATTTGATGTTTTCTTTCTTCTAAAATCTTATTTTTTCAGCCACAAAAAAGGCCAAATAAAAAATCCATAATAACCGACACACTTAAATAAAAAAAAATAAAAAAACGAGCGCCCGAAAAAATAATCCTTCTTCAGCCATGTAGGGGTCTGCGCAGACTGAGCTCTGCAGGGTGGAGGAAGGCTTATAAAGGTGGGTGGGGGCCCTCATTATTTTACTTTATGGCCTCCACCCGCTTGGAAGGGGAGACCCTTTTTTTCTGTTTAATAGACAGGCAAAATTTACTAATACTAAGTAATTTTTACTTAGTATTAGTAAATTTGGCTTTAAGACCAATTTAGGTCTTTCAGCCTTTTGGGAGATAACTCCCTAATACCGTCGGAATTAGGGAGTTATCTACTAAGCGGCTGCAAGAGTAGTCCCGAAGTCCCAAAATTCCGAAGTGCCGAACCGAACCGAAGTGCCCAAGTCCCGAATTTCGGAATGTTGAAGCGAATCGCAAATTTTCCCCATGCACATGCCCTACGCTGATTCATAAACACACCAATAAACATAGGAGGTGGGGGGGAAACGGTAATTTTTTTGCTTATTTCTTTAAACAGAAAGGGAAAACAAAAGCAAAAAATATGTATATATAGAAAAAAAGGAAAACAAAAAACAAAAGAACCACACACTCCAAAAAAAAAAGAAAAAGAAAAAAAAGAGAATAGAAATAAAAATAAAAATTAATAATAAGTAATAAATTAATAAAAAGTAAAAACAGAACTCGTTAACCTATGGGCCCAGGATACGCCAATCGAACACCTGATGGAAGGGTACAGAGTACCAGAGTATATAGCACCCGCCACACGAGGGCCTATGCTTCTAGGGCTCAGGCAAAGAGGCATGGAGTGGAAATAGTCATACACAGACTGGTCTGTTCTTGGCACTCTAGTCACATCGTACCTCATGGGGTGGTGGTGGTGGGGGGTGACCTCAATGCAACACCGTGCCCAGTGGTCGACCGCAGTGGAAAGGGGGGACAGACGAGATCCCAGGGGAGAGGGGGGGACAAGATAAACTACTGAAAAATGTTATTACCCACACAGTGCTGCTGGATCCTTGGAGACTCCAGCACAAAATATTACACCTTCTACTCGGCAGCCCACTCCACCTATTCACGGATCGACCTCTTTTTAATTAACCAAATGGGCATGCAATTTGTCCAGGCCACGCGGATAAACCTTATATCATGGTCCGATCACGCAGACATAGGACTCCTGCGGGATCAGGACACAGCCAACCAGATATGCTCAGAAATCAAAAGCTATTTTCAAGACAATACACCAGAGCTAGCCTCCACAACAATATTGACTGCCCACAAAGTGGTAATACGAGGCTTACTAATTAAAATAGCCACGGCCCGCAAAAAGTGCAAATCCAAGAGACTCTTTGAGTTACAAAAAAAACTGCACTGCGAAAAACAGAAATGCAGCACAAACACCGACTCCACTGAAACTAGCCGAACTAGACATCTAATACGCAAACTAGCTATAGAGGACGTAGGGAGGGACCTAATGAGAGCCAAGAGGCTTTTTATGAAAGATCCAATAAGATGGATACGCTGTTGGCACGCGCACTTAAACCCAGGAAAAAACACAAACTGATCACGGCAATCAAAGACACCCAAGGTAACATAGCCACCAACCCTGTAGAGATTAACAAAATCTTCACTGACTACTTCACACAGGTTTATAATCACTCACCCACACTGCCCAGTCAAAATGTAGAATACACAAGGTTGGTACAAGCTTTTCTCGATAAGATAAAATTGCTGACTATTAAAGCAGATCTCATGAGGCAACAAAGCCCCAGGCCCTGACGGCTTTGACGGTACCTACTACAAAATCTTCAGAGA